TCTGAAGATTAAAGTCAGTGTCCGTAGTGACTCCTGCAGATTTGCTGTTTGGGGTTCTTTTCCTTATCTGAAAGGAATTTTTATGAGTGTCACCTGTTCTGCCTGTACTCTCTTTGCGACGTATGTTTACTTTTATAACACAATCAGTTAAACCTTGTAAGGTGAGCTGAGACCTTTTAAGATCTAAATAGAAAACCAAAATAAATAAAAAATTCCAGAATAAGGGTGACAATGACAACCTTGAATCAATTCTAAAAAAAAAAAACCAAAAACAAACAAACAAACAAACAAAAAAAAAAACAAAAGAAAAAATAATTTTAGACCTGATGTCCTAGAGTCCAAATTAGAGTCAATTTTAAATGTATTTAAGCGTTAAACCAGGACGGCCCAGGAAGGAGGCTGAAAGCACTGTCACAACTGTCCTCTAGGCTGGTGTTCCAGCACCTTAGTTTTCCACCAGAAGTACTCCAGCAAGGCTATTTGCATCAGAGAAAACGCAGCTTTCAGAGTACATCAGCAGCACATTATAGTATTGTGACCCGATAAAGAAAAACAGGGGTCGTCTTCCCTGTCATGCAGCTCGGCTGACACCCTCTAGAGGACGAACCCAGTGAACTTGAAAACTGAGGAGTTAATTTCTTAGGAATAAATGTGACTGCTTGGTTTCCATCCAAAATCCATTTCACCATTGATGTGATTTTAATTTTTAAGTTTTTTTATAACAGACCACAAATCAAAATAATGGATATTTTCCAGCCCATTCTTTAATTTTAATATTTAATAATAAGCTACATAGAGTCCCAGGAAATGAATTTTTTTTTTAAAGATAATTAAAATTAAGTAATGAAATACACATCACTTTTTTTGTTGCCTTTTTTTTTTACTCCATTGTTTAAAATTCTTTATAAGAAACTAAGTCAGAATTCTTGGGTTAAATACAGTGGTTTTGTTGGTCTAGAAAGATGGCAGTCCTAACCAATATTTACTCTTCTTGATGATTTGACCTCAATACTATTTAGTATAGTCTTTATTAGTATAAATGTAGCCTATCATACTGAAAGAAAATGGCTCCATAAGCTGATTGCATGGTAATTCAAATGATTTCACAAGGAACAATTCTTTCTTCCTGGCCGGGTAGGTGTCAGTGTACTCATTTGTAATGGCTTCCCTGATGGCAACAATGGTTGCTTCCAATTGCAACCAAAGGGTTTTTTTAGTTCCACACATTTTCCTTGGTATTTCTGGGTTTTAAAGTGTTCTGGCCAAAATGCTGGCCAAAGCAATAGGATACCATATTGGTTCTGGAGTTGAAGCAACATGGCAGCAGACACAGGCATTTCTACTGAGCTTCTGCAACCACAGCACTTACAGTATTGCCAGGCTCAATTGCAGTTATGCAAAAAGTAATACTTTTTTGAATAGACACTTCATGCAAGGTATGTTCCTTTATTGCAGCACTGATTTTCATTTGGACTTGGATTAGTTTAACTTGTTTTCTCTTGCCAGGTTCTTATGTTATTTATTACTTGTATCAAAATACTCTATAGAATCTGGGGGACTATCATAAATGAAGGACAATAATTATTCTAAAGAATTTATGATCTGAATGGAAAGGCATTATTGTTCTATTTCACAGATATGGAATGAACCAGAGGAAGGTTAAGTCTGGAGTTTCAAGGCATTTTGAAACTACTTAATTTGAAAAGTTGAGCCCTTCAGAAACCTGGCTGCAAGCACCTGACTAGGGCTGGAAAGTCATGTGCATATCAGGCACAAGAAATCAGTGGTAGAATTTGAAGCAAACCACTTAGTTCAAAATTCTGGCTCATCTTCCTTTCTTTGGACTCATGTCTTCATCAGGAGCAATCAGAGAAGGGGTAGTCACTCTAAACTTACACAAGGATCAGCTTTCCTGTAAATGACAGCTTTTATCTGAATTCTGCTGGGTTCTCCAAATAGGACAATCTCCTTAGTGTCAGGATGGGTCCTGTCTGAGTGAGAAGGAGTTATCCCACTCTTTTGAATAATGGTGATAATATCCAAATTTCCTTTTTCTCTCCTTAATTCTTCTGTTTGCTGTATGTTGGTTTGGAAACAGGATTGCTGTATGCTGGTTGGTATAAGATAGAAAGTGATCTGACTGGATGGGCTTCAGAGAAAAGGTGTTCCTCTTGGAATCTAAGCCCTTAACTTCTCCATGAAAAACAACTGCTAAAACAAAGACATTCAGCCAAAATCTTCATGTTCGTTTCCTGCACAGTACAGTCTTTCTTTGCTCAACCAAGTTACTGACAGTTGCAAAACTTCCTTCTGCACAAAAGCAATTAACTGTCCAGGTCTAGAGGATGTAAGCCTGGGAGAGGCCGGTGGTCCATTCACTGTTATCCACTACTCTCAGAGTACACACCGCTGATTGCATACTCAAGTTCCCCTGGCTTCTCTTGCACATTTTGGATTGTGGATCCTTTCAATAGGTATGACACTGTAGCAAAAAATTTACAAGAAGTCACCTACAGGTTTAGCTTGACAAGGCTGTCTTTCAGAACCCACCTATTCTTGTCCTTCTCAAAAGGAAGCTGAAGCCTATGTGGAAGAAATAGCCATATTGGCACAGCAGCAGGCAACTTTGGAGCATACAGAGATACTAACAGAGTATCTTTGTCTCCCACAAGATCCTCCAAGGCCTCTTGGAATTAATTTTAGCTCTCAGAATAGTTCCAGGTTTGGTAGGTCCTGTTTTCTGCCTTTGCACAGTCTGTTAATGGCTGTTTCCTAGAATTCCCCTGAATGTGATTCTTGATTCTATCTGCCAGGAAAAACTCCTCTGCAGACAACTGTGAAAGTCTAGCAATGTTATAATAATACATCACTAAATTTTAAGCAAAGAATTTACCACACACTTGTATCTGCTGGTATTTAAATGTCAGTGAAAAAGGATATTTTCAAACACTTCCAGTTAATTCTCCAGTACTAGCTTATGCTGAGCTATCTCAGTAAGGCGTCTAAGTACTTATCACTATCAGCAATCATGAGATATAGGTCTTGAAAACAAACAACAGCAATAAAAACCCTTCCCTGTGAAAATACTCTACATTGTGACATAAACTATGCAGTTGAATGTGAAGCACACCTCATTTTGTGGTGTTTCTATAAATAACATTAAATTATGCACCAATTAAATGTGATGTTTATTTTGTCAACTTCCACTTTGCAAAGTGACCAAGTAAGGATTTGGGGTTTTGTAGGTAAAATCCTCTTCTATAGAAATTAATAGCTTTTCAGAGACTGGCCAGAGTAAAGTTTCTTTTCTGTTTCTAATAATAAATTAAAACAAATTTGAAGTTTCAGCTTATCAGTACTGCATTTCCATCAGGTCCTTAATGCAATACTTAATACAATACTTAGTGTTACAAGTTACATATTAAAGGCACACGGTTGAATATTTTCTGTGGCTTGCTTAAGCTCCAGTCTTACGCTTTAACTACATCTAACTATACACAAGTTTTATACATAAAGTTATAGGCAGAGTCAGGGTAAAGGAAACACCCAGGGTATGTGGAGCTAGGCTTTAGGGTGCACTACATGGGTGGTAAGGAGTGAGTACATTAATATTGGCAAATGAATGTCTCACAGCTCAGGGCCAGAATCTGACAGCAGATACGCTGTTATAAGTCAAAAGGAAAACCTCTGGAATAACTGGAATTTTTGCAAGTCACTGCAGAAACAGAATAAATTGGTATTTATTCTGTGCATGGGATCAGATACCTTAAAGAGAGTGCAGGCAGCTGTTTAATATATGCCCTGACCCAGGAGTGAAAATGCCACACGGAAAGAAAGAAGGCAGATGAAAGAAACACGATCTGTTGTAAGAAAGAAGAGGCTGAATAGTAACTTCACTAGGAATTAGCATTTGCATTTGCAAGTAATACATCTGTTACATTTGCATTTGCAAGAAATGTTGTAAATGGAAACTCTAACCACAAAGAGACTTGTGAGAAAGAAAAGAAAAAAAAAGCAAAATACAATAATTCCAATAATTTATATGGAATGCATTATGCTCATTAGAAAGAATATGTAACAGACATCCCATTTCTCTCTTTTGCTTGCCAGGAAACAAATTTTTATTCCAGGGTAAGCTCCAGCTTTTTTATAATACTTTATTTAATACTTTTACTTTTAATACTTTATTTAATACTTTTTATAATATTTTTTAATAATATAATCATAGACAATAAACACTACAACGGACCCCACTGTTTGGAGAGTGTTTTGGCTTACTATCAAAAGACACAAAATCTGAAGAAACCATTATAGGAAAACAGAGAAATAAGCCAATGTCAAGAACAGAAAGGGATTATTGTCAGATCTGTGTCTTTTACATGAATTGGGATTTTTCAGTAGCATCATCATGTTTCTGTCCTACAAAGGCTCATTTTGGTGTATATGTTGGAGCTTATGAAAGCTGAGAGTCCAGTCTCTGTTTCTCTTTTCCCCTAGTCCCCTTTTGGTACAGCATCTGATTCCTGCATATTTGAGGGGAATGGTGGCATCAAGAACAGCTGCATCTTGGTTCTCCTACAGCCAAGGAGCTGCTACACATGTCAAAGGGGGAAGAGAGTCAAAAAACTAGGGATAATATTATGTTTTCCCACTGTTCTGTGTTTACCAAACTAACAGACTTGGCCTAGCTTGTAAATACAGAACCTGATCCAAAGTCCACTGAACTCCCTAGGAGCTCTGTATGCATCAGAACCATGAATATCAGCTTATACAAACCGTTTTTTTACAAAAATTCTAAAGCTTACAAGAAAATGGTAAGGGCTTTTTTGAGAAAAAAGCAGTCTTTTGATAGTTTGGGGTTGCAGGGTTTTTTTTTGACCAGAGTCTGTTCTATAGCACTGTGTGGCAGGGGGATCTTTTCTCAGTATTCTTTGGACCAGACCTTAAAATACAGTTACAGCAATATCAGTTCCAGTTGGTCAATCAGTACATGATTGCTTCTTCACACCTACACTCAATTGGAAGGAATTCAAGACAAACCCAAATTTATACCGAAATATTTGCCATGTGTTTTAGGTATAATAAACTCTGAACACAGCAGAAAAGATTTTATGTCCAACACTTCCTGCAACCTCACATGCTATGTGACAGCATTGCTTCAGTACCTTCAGCAAAATAGCCTCAGCCAGTGAAGCAAATACAAGCACCTCAAGAGGCGTGGCTAACTTTCAAGCGCAGCCTTTTTCCTTTGCTGTTTTTTTTCTTTTTTTTATAGGTGACATAGGAGCCCTTGTTGGCCCTGCAGTTAACTTAATAGACTTGAAGCTGATAGAGAGCAAGTGAAACAGAAACATGGCATTTGTTAGATTTTTGATCCCCTTCTTTATGATCGGCACTGATACCGCTTTCTCTTGCCGGAATACTGATGACTTTGTGGGAGCCAGTTCTCCGGGGGACATTGTTATTGGAGGTTTGTTTGCAGTTCATAGTGAAATGATGCATCCAGAAGAACATCCCATCAAGCCAGTCATTCAGAATTGCGCTGGGTGAGTAATACTTGAAATTACATGTATAACAAAGAAGAGATCACTGATATTGGGCATGTACCCCTTACATTAAGATCAGAAAAATCTGGTTCTCTTGCACTTCTCAGTCTGTAAGACGACCTTGGACATCACATAAATAGTGTTAAATAATACACGATAACAAAGCGTGGCAAAGTTGCAATGAAAAATATTGTGGATGCCTCAGGAAGGAAATAAGCACTGGATCCTGTTTCAATCTTCATATAAAAAAAAGCAAATAGCCCTGGAGGTTTCTGAATCATATCTAAAGTACTCTACTGTGCAGTTGTTCATTATTTGTTATGAAGTTGTACCTACATGATTTGAACACAGACAAGAGTGCTCAAGCTTACCTAAGCACACACTAAAGTAATACACTCACTTCACAGGGCAGCTCAGCTGTAATCTATGATGGTACCTTGCTGGCTAGATCGTAATTACTGTTATAATTACTGTAATTATTACACTTAATATTATAATCGTGGCATTACGTTAGACTATGTAAAACACAACATGTCACATCTGCATTCAGGTTCAGACTGTACATCAGAATATTTATTTCATGGGCTCCAAATCCTACTGTGCTTGAAACAAATTATTCTGGAAACAATGCAAAGGAAGCATGGTGGGAAAATTTCACTTTAAGCGTAAAACAAAGCTTTCCTAAACAGAGGAATTCCAAAAATGCATTTTCTTTAATTTTGATACAGGTGCAAATCCTCAAATTTTCTTTGAATTTTGCATGCAACTTAATCCCACATCTGAATCTAATAATCAGCCAGACATGCAGGTATCCACGTGGATTTATTTCAAAATGGTGATGAAGTTCAAAATGTTGTCAGTATTCCATTATTCTTCTATGGAGTCATAAAGTGCCTTGGGTCCATCTGAAATTAAATTTAGTTGGCAAGATTTGTAAACTTCAGAGAAGCTTGCCTGAGAGGAGGGTAGCTCATACTGCTGACACTCTGTGCTAGCACAATTCTGATTAAGCATCTCATAGTATCTACTGGAGATAAGGGGAATAGCTGTACTAACTTCATCAGGTTTAGAGAGGATTTTGGGAAAATCAGTGCAAGCAGTAGAAGACCTCAATCTCTGAAATATTTTCTTCTCTTCTGACATATTTGGTCTTTTCTTTATTTCATGCTTTTATTTAAATAAAAAAGTAAATTTTTATATAAACTTCCTGGGCAGAAGAAGTAAATTGCAATAGCTTCACTGACTTTGACAGATTCTTCCTGAATATATCACTTGCAAATTTTCATGTAACATGAAATTTTATTTTTAGTACCTGGTTATTGGTTGTTATTGTTTGGTTTGTTTTGGGTTTTTCCCCAAAAACCACTTTTGGTCAGGTATATTTTGTGTTTATTTTCCTTAATCTCCCATTTAGGCGAGGCAAAAATACGCAGTTTCTAATCTTTGTTACACTAAAACCCATGCAAATCACACAAAACATTCTATCACTTCTTTTCAGTAGTTGTCAAATTCTAAGGAATATATTCAAAATGGACTTTGCTTCAGCCTTGTTCCCAGCAATGTTTTTCTAAAATGAAACTTCTGTGTTTCCTGACAGCTTTGAAATTCAAATTTTTCTTCAGACACTTGCAATGATACATGCTATAGAGATTATCAACAACTCAACGCTGCTCCCCGGAGTTACTCTGGGCTATGAAATCTATGACACATGTGCAGAAGTTACAAAAGCCATGGCATCTGCTCTGAGGTTTCTGTCTAAATTCAATTCTTCTGATGATGTTGTGGAGTTCAAGTGTAACTACTCAGACTACATCCCAAGAATTAAGGCTGTCACTGGAGCCACCTACTCAGAGGTGTCGATGGCAGTTTCAAGGCTGTTGGCTTTGCAACTAATCCCACAGGTAGGTTTGAGGCATTTATTTTGGTTTGATCAGAGGGCCACATTTACCACGTTTAGAATAAAGGTTTGGCTCTGATTACAGGGATTGCAAAAGCCACACCTACTATAGAGCAGGATTTGGCTAAGGACATCAGGAGGGGTGGGATTCAGCTCCAAATGAAGGGCTTGGTTCACTTGACAAAGCAGAGGCAGTAAGGGATATTTTATATGACCAAGGCACATGCCTCCAAGTGCTATTTCAGGATGATTCTGGGCTCATACTAGCCTGGCAGTGCCATTAGTCAGTCCTGAATGACAATGTGTGAATGACTCCAGTGTGCCTTGGGTGACACTCAAGGATTTTGCTCAGGCAGCAAAGTTACACCCACCATGTCTAGACTGACTGGTGGTGAATATGACAATACCCAGTCTCAAGTGTGGGGTGGGCCAATAAGCTGGAAATTCTCTCCTGCCTGAGAGAGATTAGACATTGGAGTCTGTCATAACTGTGGGCAGGGAAGTGAGGAATATTGCTCTTAAACAGTTTTACTCCTGTTACTCTTCAAACAGTTGTAGAAGACAAAGAACACAACCCTCCAAATCCACACTAGTTCTTCACAAAACATCCTTCCCTATTTCTGACCTCTCTAGGACTAGTGGCCCCACACTTGCACTCAGGCTGGTGCTTACATTTCTACTTTCACTACTGTAAACCAGTTGCAGTCCAGGCCAGAATGAACAAGGGAAAAAGAGATGGACTTCCACACCATCCTCTGTTCCACGTTAGGCTGGGCAATTTGAGATAAATTACCTCACTGCAAAGTACATGGTAACCAAACACATGGAAAAGACATGAAACGTTGACCATACGTAACTTCTAACTGAATCTTTTCCTCTGCAGAGGTAGGAAGTAAGTAGCTGTAAGTATGAAAACTAAAATGCCACACTTGAACATCATATAGAGGCAAGTGATGAAACAAATCTGCTTGGGAATGCAGAAATGAAAAAGGTGACCCACAGAGGTTTCTCACCAATGTCATCTGTAATCTTCTGACACCAGTGAGATTTAGTACATCCCTCCAGATGGGTCACTGTCATTTTGGAAAGCATATATTTAAAGAACTGTCAAGCAATGTAGGAAAGTGTAAGAGAAAAAACCTCCTGCAAACAAATAGAAAAGAATTAAACCTAGAAAGATTTAAATAACAATGTTCCATTTACATTTTTCTAGCTACATTCACAAGAAAAAAGGCAGCAAACTGTTTATCTAAAAATGTTCTAGTATTCTGCGGTATTGGTTACTGTTTGTTTTCTGGGAGATTCTAACAGAGTTAATGATCCTTTTAAAATATTATAATTAAATCTTGGGGACAAAACATATATATATATATGTGTGTGTGCATGTGTAAGTGCTCAAATAATAGTTAATGCTTCCAGTGTTTTAAATATTGTTTTGAATAGCAGGTTGATGGTATCTGAACAGAGTAGAACAAAACCATTATACCAGCATAATTGTCATACCCGTTTTGAAAAGTGTTATTTTCTGCTTTCACTGAATTATGTGGATGAGAATAAAAATAGTGGAAGTGGTAGTGGACATGAGTCTGCATCCTAAGAGCAGGGGGAGGGAACCTGTTCCATTTGGATGCACCTTACTGATGCTCACTCACAGGAGTAGGGAGCCTAGGTCAGGCTGGATGAAAGAGGAATTGTGGCAGCCTCAGATCTTGTGCTGTCCATTGAAGGAGACCACCTCCATAACTGAATTGTTCACTCTTCCTAGGTCAGTCCTGCATCATCAGCTGAAATCCTCAGTGACAAAATCCGGTTTCCTTCTTTCTTCAGGACTATCCCCAGTGATTTTCATCAGACAAGAGCAATGGCCCACTTGATCTGTGAGTCGGGGTGGAATTGGATTGGAGTAATAGCCACTGATGATGACAATGGGCGGTTCGCTGTGGAGAGCTTTGGAGTCCAGGCCATGGCAAACAATGTTTGCATAGCTTTTAAAGAAATGCTGCCTGCCTACCTCTCTGACAATACCTTTCACACCAAAGTTGATCATGCAGTTGACAAGATTGTCAAGGAAACCAGAGTAAATGTTATTGTTGTCTTTATGAGACAGTTCCACGTGCTCAAACTATTTAAGAAGGCAATTGAGAGGAACGTAAATAAAATCTGGATTGCAAGTGATAACTGGTCATCTGCAGTCAAAATCAGTACAATTCCCAATATCAGACAGCTGGGAACCATTGTGGGATTTGGATTTAAAAGCAGAGACATCTCTGCTTTTCAAGACTTTCTAAGAAACCTTCATGAAATGCCCACTGACAACAACAAGTTTTTACGTGAATATATTATGCTTTTGTCAGTCTGTGCACACCTGGAATATTATGATTTTCAAGCATGCATTTCAAGCCAGTCCCAGGATGATCTACTGCAAAATGTTGAGAACAAACATCAGATCTGGAAAGATGATTTTTTGAATGCTAACATTGAACCAGGATTTATCCATAGTACTGTAATTGCAGTCTATACCATTGCTTACGCCATTAAAGGGCTATGCAAAACCAGAAACTGCAAGGATCCCTCTGCCTTCACTCCCTGGGAGGTATGATGTTAATTCTTTCAGGTCTCTTTCTCTTTGCATAACTTTCATCTCATTTTTGCTCCCACATTCGCGGATTTACTAGCTTGGTCCTCTTACTAAATCACTTTTTATTCTTGTTTCTGCTTTCCTTCACTAACTGAAATCAAAGACTTTGTGCTAGAGCAGCAGTATCTAACTGCTGCAGAGACAAGAACTAGATTCCAGATTTGTCTCCCTTTTGGCCCATGTAGCTGCAGAGGCTCCTGGTGCTAAGCCATGGCTGTGTTCTGCTGTAGATAGAGAACGATTAATGCATTTCACATACAGATAGCTAACTGATAATGAGTAACTGCGTGCTCACCATCTCCTCCTTCATAGGCACCACAGCAGTGGCTGTGAATGCATGACTCCACAAGCATTAGAAGGGATTTTTACTTGCTGGGCTTCACTAGCTACCCTAACATTTTCCCTGCCACCTTCAAAGAGCACACAGCTTGGATGAAGGTTCCAGTCTGTAGGATCCTTGCTGGAATGTCTTGCTAGCTACTCATGTGAGATAGAATAAAATGTATAGTCAATTTACAGTTGACCTGTCAGGTATTCAACTACTAGTGGTCGGTCCTTGTGATTTACAATGTCACCTTCAAGCTAGAGCCAGAGCCCATGACAGTCTACCAAGGGGCACACAGCCATGTTCCAGTGCCAGGCAGAAGGGAACCCCGTGCCACACATCCAGTGGAAAAGGAAGGACAAGATTTTGGATCCTGGCAAGCTCCTGCCCAGGAATCAGATAATGCCCAATGGCTCCCTTGTGATCTACAACACACATGTATTTACCTGTCTATTTTTTCCCTCAGCTTCCTTTTTTCCAAGACAGGAGTGGATGAAGTGACAGAAAATCAAATCCTTTGTGTGTATTTTTGTCCAAAAACTTGGAAAATTCCAACCAAAACAAAGCAGCACTTTATCCAAGAGCCATTTTTGTCAATTAAGTGCTCTGTGGAAAACAAAATTGAAACCAGCCCTGGTCCAGAAAGCTAAACTGGCTGCACTGCATCCAGTATCTCAGCAGATGTTTGGTCCACAAACCACTGCAATACACAGCAATGAGTGCTCTCCGGATATGGGGATATTGCAGGATAGGAGCATTCACCAAAGAATTTCAATTTTCCCCACTCTCAATCCTCCCCCCATCTCTCTCTGCCCCTCTTGTCTACCCCACTCTCTCTTGAATTCAGGCTATTTCCTCCATAATGAATCTTTACTTCTAAGTGAAAATGCAACAGACTATTTCTCTGTCTGATCTTAATTTATACCGGTGACTGGTAAGAAAATTAGACAAAATCTTTAAGATAGGTGAGGTACTTGTTATCAAACTCTATTGGGTGGGAAAAGAAGAGGAAAATCAGACAAGTAAACCTGGCCTGACCTTTTACCCAAGAACCTGCTCACAAGTATTCACTTTTACACACTTTTACTCGGAGGATTAAACAAAAGTTAATTTAAAAGTCAAACAACCACTGAAACACTGACTTGCTCTGACCTCTTATCCTAGGTCAGGGCAGGTCAGACCAAGACAGGGGATTTGAAATAATAATTACAAAATTAAAAAAAGTCAGACTATTACATGAATTTGTAAATGAAAATGGGACAAATTCAAGACTGCTCTGCAGGGGATGCAGCTTTACAGAGCTGCATGTACACCATTGCTGAGTTAAATCCCAAATCACCCAAATTAAAATTCCTCTTAAAAGGCTAAGAACTCATGAAGAACACTGAGGTAGTTATTCTCCCTGTGCTGGCTTCATAATACATTTTCTCTATGTTAAAATGAAATCCTCTAGTAAATGGATATATATGCATAGAGTTTAAGATGCAACTAATCCATATCACACATCTCCACATACAGAAAAATGAAATTCATTGGTGCCACAGACTTTGCAAGAATAACCATCAGTTACATTAAAATGTTGCTAATTAATTAGCCCCTTCTGTCTGAAGCTCAAGATGTATTGCAAAAACTCTGTTGTTCCCATATTGTTGTAGAAAGTGGAAAAGTGGAGAAGAGAAAAACTAAATGACTAGCCTGAGTATATGCATAAAAAAAAATCCTATTCAGTCCCACACAACTATGCCACATCCAGCTCAAATGCAATATTGGTTAGAAGTACACTGTGGTTCTTCAAAAATTGGTACAGATGCAGTGAGAGTACATGAATTAAAAAAAAAAAAAGAGATGTTATACATGAAAAAATGGTGTGTTATATACACCAGATGTGTCTGTACATATATGTTCGTTAAATGATACAGATATCACAAATGGATCTATCTAAGAGCTTCCTTTTCAAAGCAATTTAAATTCATTCTTTCACCAGAACCTTGGGGTTTTTTCTTGTTAATTAATCTTTGTTGCCAAAAATCACTAGACCTGCAAAAGGATAAAGTCTTTGCTTCAGTTCAGAGCCACAGTAGCTGATGAAAGCCCTTCTGTGATCTCCCTATGAACTGGGAGTGAGTTATGGGCCTTAATCTGTCCTTTTGATCTGGCTGTTTGTGATGAGGGAGACAGAAATGTACCCCTATTGAATGGAATTGGTTTTGATATTTCCTATAATCTATCAAATATTCCCTTGCTGTTTATTCCTATTGTGCCATTGATCACTTCATCTGAGCAAGCTGGCACATACTGTTTATTGAACGGTTCCAAGTCTCACCTTGCAATACACAACATCAGTCAGAGTCACAGCTGAAAACAATGTTAGGTATTTCCAGACACGCTGGGAGAGCAAATGTTACCCGTACCAATTGTGGTGACAGTAAAGTAACAACAGAATCATTGCTCACAATTGTTCCTTACAAGAAGAGGAGTTCCAAAAGACCATTAGTACTTGCAAGCGAACAAAAATCTTTTCTTTCCCATTATCACACCAAAATTTCCAAGGCTGGAAAAAAATGCTAACATGAATATTTGTACACACCGCATAGCGTTAAGAAATGATGATTCATTTTAATTGATAGATTCTTGAGGTCAACAGGATTGTCTAAATAATATAATTCCATGTCTAACACCAAATTAAACAGTTTTAAAAAACTGGGTTTATTTTTAAGATTTCTTTTACTGCTAAGAATCAACATTTCTTTTCAATCTGACATTCTCATAAAGGTGTTAAACTACTAAGTTTATCCCACTGACATGATACTGACGTATGTTATCATTCCTTATGCTTATGTTCAGCTCCTTGAAGAACTGAAAAATGTTACAGTCATTTATGATGATAAAGAAATCAAGTTTGACTCCAACGGAGACATGAGCACCAGTTATGATGTATTTCTTTGGAAAGAAATTGATGGCCACATGAAAATCACCACTATGGCAGAATATGACCCAGGGAAAGGCGACTTTATCTTTGAGGATGAAGAGAAAAAAAAGGCATTTCTGGATTTAAAGGTAACTTCTGATGTGAAGTTTGACATGTGAAATTTGTTTCATATGTTTTCTTCTCCCCCCAGTATTTACAACTGAAGTATGTGTCAGCTAGAAATCTCTCTTGTGATTTCATGTTCTCCTTTTAGACCAAAGAGTCCTCTCAAGGGTATATTTGACCTTTCATGCACTTTCATGCACACTGAGAAGCATGTTTTCCTGTAAGCAGGCTCAGTGATTTGAGACCAAGTTACTTCTCCAGAATGTTTGTAGGAGGTTTCCCAAGAGGAGAGCTTATGTCTGTCCTAAGGATGCTATTCCCGTGTCCCTCAGGACTGTTGCTCCATTTTACGAAAATGGTCTTTGGAAGGAGGACTTGAACTGAGACCTGAGAGAAGGCCCTGATCACACATCCTGGAGTGGTGCTTCATGACTCAGGGTTGAGCTGCTGAGGTTCAGGAACATTAGATCTGCGGTGCAGAGCACACACACAGGTGTTTCTCCTGAGCCCAGATACCTCACATGGCTCAGAGCAGCTGAGCAGGGTTTCAGGATTTCACTTAGGAAGCAGTCCACTCAAATCCCTCATCAGATGGGATTTCTTTAGAGCTGATCCCCAGGAGAACTAAGTTCTAGGTTCAAAGCTGGATGAGACACCTTGATCTGGATTTAAAGGTACAGACAATTCCACTGATTGACATTCACTGCCAAAAAGTAAAATTGCTAGGTAGGCAATGCCCCATCCTGCCACTTCTGACTGTGCAGAAAAAATGCAAGAAACATGGAACCTACAATGCCTTTCTCCAGCATTATTTTTGTATTCTCACACAATATGTTAGATACAAATACAGAGTGCAAATTGCAGAATTCCCGGAGGCTTATTTTAATGTTTCTTAGTAGTTAGTTAAGCCTGAGCTGATTTGTTGCTGTTCTCTGCACACTGCAGAAGGTTCAATCAACATGCTCCCAGCACTGCACACCAGGGCAGATGAAAAAGGTTACAGGAAGTCCACACACATGCTGCTATGAGTGTGTTTACTGCCCAGAAAACCATTACAGCAATCAAACAGGTAAGGAATGGTGATCCAAATAAAGGCTTATTTAGACATCAATACAATGTTTTTGTTTGGGTATAATGTGCCTTGGCAACCTTGGGTATAATTTTGGAGTAGGATTAAAATATTTGTTTATGCTCAGTTTCCCAAATGTGAGTGTTCAGCCTATAAAACTCTGTTTAAATGCTTTTTAGAAGACCAAACTATAACCAATTAGATTGTCCATCTGACTAGCATTATCCTTTGTTAGGATGGAAAGCCTGGCTGATTCATCAGAGAGAAAGACTCGTTTCCATCTTTCTGCAGTACACCCAGCTAAATAAGGAAGAATTTATTTATGGTGATGGTGAGACAGTAAGTTGTGGGTGCCTCATCCCTCGCAGTGTTCAAGGCTGTGTTGGACAGGGCTTGAAGCAACCTGGTCTATTGGAAGGTGTCCCTGCCCATGGTGGGGGGGTGGAACTGGATGATCTTTAAGGTCCTTTCCAACCCAAACCATTACATAAGTCTAGAAAGTTCAAGGGTGATGCATTTTGCTTACCAGTTAGGGTTCTTTTGTCTTACCAGGGAGTACTGCAAAGTTGGATATAACTGTACAGTAATATTTTGTATTATCAAAACTGATGTGTATTTTACCACTAGCTCATTTATAGGTTTGAGAAAAAAAAAACAAGAGGAAAATTAAATATGGAAGAGAGAGATGGAATTAAGAAAATTGTGGTGCGATGTACTTTAATACCCTGAGAGCAGAAGGAAATTAATTTTAAATTCAAACAATTGTGAAATTTCTCCATATCAGGGGATAGGAATTTTAAAGCAAACCTAACATGTCAAAGCATAATCTAAAGCAGTGTTTGTTCTTGCTGTTTTATTTCAAAAGCTGTCTTTAAACAGAAAGCAGGGTTTTTTCTTGTCAAAATAGGTAAATGAAAGAAGCATCGTTCATATTTTTGCAGGAGAACTGATTTACTCTCAAGTCATTATTCAGGTGTTACTTAAAGTTTGCTTCTCCTGATCTCTGGCCAGGTCACTCATTGCCTGTCAGCGATTTCCAAGGCAGTTTCAGGACCCTGGTCATTCTCCCTGTCCCCTTCTTGCCCCTGGCTACAGGCAGCCCCTGCTCCCAGCTGGCAGGTATTCATCCATTGCTCCTGCTGCTGCCACTGCTGCCACTGCTGCCACCGCTGCCACCCCTGACACTGCAGTCCTGCAGCTCCGCCGCCTGGACAGCGACATCAGCAGTCGGAAGCAATCAGCCCTGTGTATTCCCCTTAGCATCCCTTCCCACATTGCTCCTGTATCTAATGTATCTCAAGCCTCGAGATTTCACTGTGGGGTTTATTTACATTTGGTTTCTAAGTTATTTTCCTTCTTTCTGCTTTCAGATATGGATTACTGCTACCAATGTGACAACAAAACCTACTGGGCTCCCATCAACAGTAGTACATGCTACAGCAAGACAATCCATTTCCTCGCATGGACTGACTGGTTTGCTATTTTCCTCCTCCTCCTCTCTGCTTTTGGGGTTGTGTTGGTTTTGTCAATTAGTGTAATATTCACTAAGAACTTGAACACGCCAGTTGTAAAAGCATCTGGAGGTCTAACTGTCTGCTACGTTATTCTCTTCAGCCACTTCTTAATTTTTTTAAGCACCACCTTCTTCATAGATGAACCCACAGAATTCAAGTGTAAAACTAGGCAAGCCTTCTTTGGCATAAGTTTTACACTCTGCATTTCATGCATTTTAATCAAGTCACTAAAAATTTTACTAGCCTTCAGCTTTGATCCCAAGCTGCAGAATTTCCTGAAATGTATGTATAAACCTGTTCCCATTGTGGTCACCTGCACTGGAATTCAAGTTGTCATTTGCACCTTCTGGCTGATATTTAGGACACCTTTTGTAAAGCAGAATTTCTCAATCTCAAGAGCAATAATTCTGGAGTGCAATGAGGGCTCTGTTTTGGCTTTTGGGATTATGTTGGGCTACATCGCTGCCCTAGCCTTCATTTGCTTCATATTTGCCTTTAAAGGTAGGAAGTTGCCAGAGAACTACAATGAAGCTAAATTTATCACCTTTGGCATGCTAATTTACTTTATAGCATGGATTGTCTTTATCCCTGTCTATGCAACTACATTTGGCAAATATCTGCCAGCAGTGGAAATCATCGTTGTTTTAATATCCAATTATGGAATTCTCTGCTGCACGTTTCTTCCAAAGTGCTATATCATCATTTACAAGCAAGAAACAAACACAAAATCTGCCTTTCTCAAAATGATTTACACATATTCCTCCAAGAGTGCAAGCAGTGTTGCTGTTAGTCAGATTTCTTTGGATTCAAAGTCTTCCAGCTCCCGAGGTACTGTCTCAGACTCATGTAAATCTCAGCAAAATTCTGTGAATGGAAATGGCCATTTCCAAGTGCCTGGGCAGACACTAATAAAAGGGAAGGCTCTTCCTAAAAATACTGTAAGGACTATGGCCAGGAAAAGACTCTCCAGCATATGACGGGTCAGCGTTATAGTACTTGAAGATGAAAAGCCATTTTAGGGAGCCATTTCTCTTTCAGGTCTCTTTCCTTTTGCCATACCCAAGGAAATCAGGCCACACAAAATGCCTCCTCCCCTGGTACTTAAGCAGTTATCCATTACCAGGTTTGAAAGGTTTTCCTGGCTCACACAGTCCAGCCTTGTGGCTTGCCTTGCCTTGTGGGCATCATGAGGTGCAGTCCCCTTCAGCAGCTCCCTTTTTTTACCCTGGCTGCTCACGTAGGCCTGCAGGAACCTCTTTCGCAATCTCACTTCCCTGAGTGGGGCAGAAGCATCAGGAAATTATGATTTCTCACAGGCATGTAGGTGGGATGATATGGGTTTACCCCAATTTTTTGGCATCTCTGATGCCCAATTGTTTAAAGAGCTCTTCTCACCTCACTCTGTCTTACAGATCAAACAGAACCCTCTTCCAGCCTTTGTTTGCTCCAGTAAACAAGCCCAGTCCTTTAGTCTCCACCTTTAAGATAGGCTTTCCATTCTCCTGAATATCCCAAAGTAACCCTTTTCACCTGGTATCAGTGAATCCTTTTTTTTTCTCCCCAAAATTGCACGTCTTATTCCAGATGAGTGCTGCAGTAACTCTCAAAGTTCCTTGTATTTACCAGGATGATAACCGACCAGAGACTGGCCTATCTAAAAATCTAAGAACTTCTCTGGAGTTCTGTAGTTACCCGTATGTTCATCTACTTTTTTCCTCATACTCAAAGAAATACATTGATTCACCTCATGCACCTCCTCTGATCATGAGGAGAGACAACCCACTATGTTTGTCCCCTGAGCTGAGGATCTAATGTCAGTATGTGATGTCAAAATTTATAAACACTACTTGTTTCCTTTCAGTAGCATAAATAATGTAATGACAAGGATCAGCATGAGCACATCCTTGGAATTACAACTTTTTCATACGTATTTTAAAAATCTGATTTTCAACAAGAAAACGACAATGCACCATTCCAGTAAGCAGAAATAGCACAAGAATGAACTGACATGAGCTGTGCTGGATGAGTCTCTGCTCCACCAGTGCAGCTACGCTGTGCCTTCTGTATGAGAGGAACAGAAAGGAACGTTCCGAAGAGGAGGAACTTTTCTGACAGGACAAAAGGAATTTAGAGCTTTTTCAAGCCCTAAACAGTGGAGCTATGTTGTCAATCCAGGACCGTGAAAAATATTTTTCCGTGTTTATAAAGCCAGACCATAGAAACTTTGCTATATTAACCTCTGTGCCATGTTCCTGGGAAAAAATACTAAATCCCTTGAGTTTCGTCCATGCTTCTGTTTAGATTTGGAATAACTGGATGTTGTGCAGGCCATAATAAAGTTCAGTAGGTTTGGTGTTATACAGGCATATTGTATTATTGTTATGTACAGCATATCTATTTTTCTATCATTTCTATTTATATATTGTAACCTTTATCTATATGTTTTTTCTACTCATTTTTTTTTTAAATAGCCATGAATCACATTTCAACAATGGACACAGGCAATTAAATCATTGTGATGTGTAGATTATATATATATATACACCATGTATCTGTGACGCCATTTTTAAAGTCATTTGAATGGCTAGTGTGCAACTTACACACTTGAGTAATTATGTAAGTTCTGTAGATGATTGGAAGAATGGAGGTTTATGCACATTTATTTCTATGATGAATGCTGCTCATACATCAGTTGTTGCAAATACTGTTCTGAATGTGACGGTGTGCACAATAAGGTTAAAATTCCTGCAATTTGGCTGCCAATGCAGCAAGTCTCTCCCTAGAAGAAAGACGCATAGCTTTCTCTGCGCAATGACTGTCAGCACTCAGCTGGTTAGGAAAGTTCATTTGGCTTGAACATTTTGCATGTATTTATTGTTTTCAAAAGGGTTGAACATACCATGTATTGAAGATACATTGAAAGGGGATTATTAAAGCCATATTGTTTTTTAAAATTGAGTTTGTTTTCTTAATTTCCTTATTTTTCCCATGAACTTTGGTCTTCCCTTGAACAGCAGCAACACAGCAGCTGTGCAGTGTGTCCACTGCAGATCTCAGACTGCACCTTAGATAGGTGTGTTGGGTTAAATAGGACATTTCCTTTACAGGACAACAAGGAAAGTGTCTTGAGGAACAGGGTGTGGTGATAGCAATGTGAAATCTCTACAAAGGTACCTTTAAGGGAAGACATCACATATGTCAGAATTTTGAAGGAGTCCTACATACGGTGTCTGCCGCTTGAGCTACTCAGGTCTTCACTGTCATGCTAGAGCTCAGGATGCAACAGATATGCTAGCTAGACTTGGCAGAAAATAGAGATGTGCTCTACCAAGCTGTATTACACGTGTTTTCAAATGCCTTGTCTGCAAGAAGCAAGTGTAGGTAGAACATAAGGGGCTTTTGCTACCCTATAGCATATAGATAATACGAAAAAGCTGAAATCAGGGTTCATGATACTAAAGGGAGCATTTGCAAGCATTACACTTCCCCCAACAGTAAGTATTCCAGCAATCTATTCCTGTTACCAGGCATGGGGACATTGAATGGGCCTGAAACAGATTTCCATCCTCAGAGCACAGAACAGGAATCACCTTCCAGAGTCATAACAAAGCTTTGGCACGGCCTTCCCTGACTCGTGGGTCAGACTGCAGGTTCTTTCTGGCTCAGAGCATGCTCTGCTTGCTTATGTTAGAAAGGTCCCAGCACCATTTCTCAAAGTACTAGCATCCATGTGTGCCCACCTGCACGCTTTCCATCTCCAAGAACAATAAGGGAAGGCAAAAGTCCCCAGCTACAGTGCTGTTCATGGAGAAGTGAAGTGAGAAAAAGCCATTTGTTGAGGTTAGCAGGAGGCTTCTCTAACTCTAACCACTATTTAACCTTGGGTTTTATGTAATTCATTGCTAATAATGCCAAATGATGCATTCTGAAGCCACTATTACACAGTGTGCAGTATTGTCAGGGAGAATGAAGACTATGAAGGCTAACAAGTTTTTTCCAAGTCCTTTCCTCCAGGGGATAACTCCCTCAAGATTTCAGTAGCTCTATCAGCTGTGCCTATGCCTTTAAGCTGCCTATAATCTTTATAGCAGTTTTTCGGTGAGTGCTGGGAGCTATTTATGTGAGTTGCAGGCTTCCTTCTAGTAGCTCTGCTGACAGCACTCTGAACTACAATGACTCTAAAGTGTGTGGGTTACCAGCATGACTAGCAACCAACAGTAGTATTTGGGGTGCTGCTTATGATGTATGATGCTCAGCAGCCTAGCCCTGATGTGCTGACTCTTCCTACCCCTCCCAGCTGTGCATCCAGGGCAAGAAGCACTGCTTGACACCACGCTGCTCTCTTTGAGTAGGAAGAAGGCAAGGGGGCTACAGCCAGACTCTAACCCCAGTATCACACTCTAGGTCATTTCTATTGATGTGTCTTCATCTCCCTGACAGTGGTCTGAAACAGGACAGAGCTGCTTGGGGGGGGGAGTGAGCATTAACATCAACAAGGGACTGAAAACAAAGGCTTTTTCCAGAATGAGATGTTGTCCAAATGGCATTTTAATTACAAAAAAAATAAAAAAAAAAAAAAAATAAAAAAAAAATAAAAAAAAAAATCAAGGACACTAGAACTCACTTTGGTGACAATTTTTTTATTTCCTTTTCTCAACAGTTTGCTCTCAGAGAAAGCTCCTTACCTCTGGCTCTGCTCCTAAAATAGAATTTGGCTACAAATGGTTTAAGACTCCTCATTTGTGCCGTCACGCTGAGCACCGGACTTTAGCTGCTGCCGGGCAGTGATCCATCCCTGGGGAGTGGGACTTCCTCTGTTCATCTGCAGGCCTTCTGGCTTGGTTGCAAGATGTAAAATCTTCCACTGTTCAGTGCATCAGACCCAATTCTGTTAAGATACTGAGTTACACCATCACTGGTATGCTGACATCGGCTGTTGCTTACTAAATATGTATTCTGTGATGCCTTTTCTAATGGATGGATGGATGGATTTATTTATTTATTAATAAAGGTTTATTATGTCCAGAATGTGAAAGGGAAAAAAACAAACAAAACCAAAACTCTTTCAGTGAATCAGAGAATATCAGTTTGGAAGGGACCATTTGGTCCAACCTTTCTAGGCAAAGTATGACCTAGACTAGATGTCCCAGCACCCTGTCCAGCTGAATCTTGAAAGTGTCCAACACTAGGGTGTCCACCACTTCCCTGGGTAGATTATTCTAATAGCTGATTGTTCTCATTGTCAGAAATTTTCCTCTTGTGCCCAGTTGGAATGTGCCCCAGTGTAACTTGTGCCCATTACTCCTCGCGTTTTTCCATGTGACTCCTTGTAAAACAGGAGTCCCCATCTTTGTAGCCACCTTTTAAATACTGGAGCATGGTGGTGAGGTCTTCTCTGAGCTGCCTTTTCTCAAGGCAGAACAGAAACAGTTCTCTCAGCTTTTCCTCACATTGCAAGTTTCCCAGTCCTCTGATCATCTTTGTGACACTTTTCTGGACCCTCTCCAGCCTGTCCACTTCTTTTTTTTTTGTATAGCGGGAACAAAAACTGAACACAGGATTTCAGGCATGGGCTGACAAATGCTGAGTAGAGTGAGACAATGACATCTTTATCTCGGCTGGTGATACCCTTACTGTCGTAACCCAGCATCCTGTTGGCTTTCTTTGCCGTAGCTGGACACTTCACTCATACTGAGCTTATCGTCCACCAGGATCCACAGGTCCCTCTACACAGAACTGCTCCACAGCCAGGCAGATCCCAGTCTGCGCTGCACTCTTGGATCGTGTTTTCCCAGGTGTAAGACCTTACACTTGTCTCTGTTGAACTTAAGTAAACAGAACTGCATGTAATTGAAATAAACAGAAAAACATGCGATGAGAATCAGTGTTAAAACAACAGAAGCATTGATATGGGCAGGTCTGTGTTGGTTGCATAGAGCCTGCCTGAGTCTAAATCATGACTCTGAAGCACCTCGGTGGTTCCTTTAACCGAGCTTTGCCTGGACCGCTGAGGTGCCAATGCCAAAGCTGCAGCCCAGCAGTGCCTTAGGTGAGCACGATGGCCTCTAAGGAGGGCTAGACCCCTCCTTGCCGGCGGCTGCTCCGCCTCGTCCCGCCTAGCCTCCGGGCGTGGCTGGAGGGGTCCGAGGGGCGGGACCAGGACCAGGACCAGGACCAGGATAGGGGCCAGGACCGAGACCAGGAGCGGGACTAGTCCCACCGCATCGGAGGGTCCCGCTGCTCCTCGCCATGCTGCCGGCGCGCCTCCACCCAGGGCGGCTCCTGTCCGCCTCGCCGCTCCGCCTGCCCGCGCCGCGGGGAGCCGCCGCCGGGGAGCCCGCCCGGATGCCGGGCACCACCCGCGGTAGGGACGGCGGCGGGAGAGGGACGGGCACACGGACACGGCTCCGCGGCGCCGGCAGCGGCTCGGGGCTGTCGGGGAGGGTTGGTGGGGACCGGGCGGGAGCGGGGCTGGGGCCGGGGCTGCCCCGGCTCGGGTGGTCGCGGCTTTCCCTGCGAGCTTGGGTACCAGCGGGCCGCGGGGAGTTGCTGCCACTGCGTGAGGGGCTATTCGAGGGACAGCGTGGTGATATCTGCGGGGCGGACACCTCGAAGTTTACTCCGTGAGCTCCTCTTGCAGAGAGCGGTACGGGCAGGGTTTTCGCTTCCACCCTTCCTACCACCCATCATTCAGTCCTAGTGCAAAGCGTGACGGAGTGCTTTTTTTTCTCATTCTTGAAGCCGAGCAAGCTCACAGGGTGGTTGCAAGTTACAAGCCTTCGAAGTTTGACAAAAAAATCCTCGTCTGGACTGGGCGTTTCAAGACAGAAGAAGATATTCCTCAGAGGATCCCGTAAGTGCGCTGCCTTTGTCCAAGGGGAACATGGAGTTGAAGGGAAAGTGGTGGCGTGATCCTCATACCGAGCGTTTCCACAGAGCTTGAACCAGTCAGATTTTCAACACTGAAAACTTGGAAACAAATGAGAGGGCAGAAGAGTTTCCTGTCCTGGTTAGAGGTTAAGATGAAAAAATGTTCCTTACTGGAGTCCCCAGAGCCTGGGGTTAAAAGCTGGATCCATCTCAGTAGATAGCCTTGGTTACACTTACGTACTGGCTTGTTTGTTTTGCTTATTCCTAACACGCAGTTGGAGAAGGATGTTATTGGTAAACTGATATAGCTCCCAGTCTAAGGGAGATGACTGTCACTGTATAATTTACATCCAATAAATTATAATTTATTATAGAATTTGAGGAAAAATAGGGAAGGGAGGTATGAGAGAAACATACCCCACCAAGGAAAGCCAAGTACTTAATTGGCCTTAGCCTCCCGTTCTTGCTGACCTGCTGGACTAGATGATCTTTGAAGGTCCCTTCAGACCCAAATCGCATTGATTGTGTGGCTCTCTGATTCACTGGAAGTTAGCATCCCCGAGGAGAGTCAGTCACCGAACACACAAACCCACTTCAATGCCAACTGCTGCCTTTTTCTTAAGATGTTGGAAAACATCTTGGAGGTCTCTCTACAGGGCGCAACATTTATCATCACAGGATGACCGTGGTCCCTGTCTTGGGTGGTGTGTTCTCTTCATCAGGGACTGCAGCAATAGGACAAGGGGGAATGGGATTAAAGTTAAGCAGAGGAGGTTTAGGTTAGATATAAGGAAGAAGTTCTTTACTGTGAGGGTGGTGAGGCACTGGAATGGGTTGCCCAAAGAAGTGGTAAATGCTCCATCCCTGGAAGTGCTCAAGGCCAGGTAGGGCAGGGCCTTGTGCAACATGGTCTAGGTTGAGGCATCCCTGCCCATGGCAGGGAGGTTGGAACTAGGTGATTTTAAGGTCCTTTCCAACCCAAACCATTCTATGATTCTATAAGCAGCATGCAGATCTGCGTCAGGCAGCAAGGTACCCCCTCTGCCTTCTCCTGATGGTTTTACTGGTGGTTGCTGGGCTAGACAGTGGCTTTCCAAATGGTCCAGCCTTTCTTGCACTGTGTTAGTTTCACCACTGTCCCCTAGAGAAAGGTTCAGACAGGTCTCAGAATCTCGTAAAGCTGTTCAGGTCTTCGGGAGGTGTTTATAATGAGACATACATTTGCCAGTCCATACACACATACACAAATTTCTGTGCGGTAGCTGGCTGAACAAAGTGAGTGTCACCACTTTGTGCTTTCTGGGTGAGCAAAGTCTTTTTTGGAGCTGTAAGATCATAACTAGTGACTTACTAGAAGTTGTGAGACATTAAAGCTGAACTGTGTTGCTGCTTTAACAATTAAAAAAGACATAACTGCAAACTGTTCTTACCTGCAAACACAATATAGCTGCTGTACTAAGGGTCAAGTCTGCTATTCAAGGTGGTTCTCGTTTGGTTTTGTGAGGTGTTTTGATCTGTTTTTAAGAAAAAGCTGTTACTGACTGCAGCTGGGTTTACCCAGAGTCTTCATTAAGGATTAAGTAGCAGAAGCCCTAATGTGCAATTAGGAAAGAACATAATCAGGTCTGTGTTACTTAAAGCAGAGGCAGAAAGCAGGGAGAAAGTGAAAATCTGCTTCAGAAGAGTTTCAATTACTGTGTTGTGAAATATAATTAGGTTAATAAGCCACCCTAATAACATTTATGGTTTTGCTTTTGTTACTACAAATGGATTAGTGGATTAATGATTTTATGTGCTGGTCTGATGTGCAGTTTGCTTTAAAGATGATTTTTACCATTGCAGAAAACAAAAGCAGTTACTCCAGGCCTTGTCAGTCACCTGGAAGAAACACAGGAGGTGCAACACATGCTTGCGTTGTGTGTGTTGGCAGAGAAGGGGGTAGTGTGGCCCAGCTGCTCGTCAGGCTTGCCCTCTTCTGTGGCATTAAGCCTTGGAGAGCAGCATGGCAGCCTTCAGCCTTGGTACAAATCTGTGTGCAGAACTTCTACTGCAGAAACCTCAGCTCTGCCCCATCCCACCGCCCATCCTCTTTGAAGTAAAGCTAAAGGTATTTTTGGGGAAAGAGATTATTACAAGATCTTGCTCACAATATGAAATCAATTATGTCTATATATCCTTTTGCCTATCTATATATTATGTATATTCTTTATCTTATGACCCTTTGTATTTATATATAAACCATTCTCATGTGACTTACGAAAGGAAAGTAAGTGCACAGCAAGTATTAGAATCATAGAATGGTTGGGCTTGGAAGGGACATTAGAAATCCATCTAGTGTGTGTCCCCCCGCCATGGGCAGGGACACCTTCCCCTGGACCAGGTTGCTCATAGCTGTGTTCAGCCTGGCCTTGAACAGTACTAGGGATGGGGCATCCACAACTACTTTGGGCAACCTGTGCCAATGCCTCAGCACCGTCACAATAAAGAATTTCTTCCTAATATCTGTCAGTTTAAAGCCATTCCCCCTTGTTCTGTTACTACATGACCTTGTAAAAAGTTCCTCCCCAGATTTACCGTAGGCCCCCTTTTAGGTACTAGGTCTCCCTGTAGGAGAGGAATGAACATCTAAAAAACTGTACTCCCAAGTACAATGTTTGAAGACTTGCTGAAAGTTTTGAGACCATTTTAGTGATGTGGGCATTTCCTGTACCACCAGTTCACAGCAGCATGCAGCCTGCCTGGAATGATGGAGGGTAGAAAGGGGAGCCTGTCCTAGGGTGGCTCACTGGGTTGTACTTTTGCAGCAACTCGTGCCAGATGCAGGTCAGGAGTTTTCATTACTTTTACCTTAGATGACAGCAAAAGTAATCATGTAGATTGTTCTTGTTTGGTTACGTGATCCTGTAACAGAGAGGAGGCTGACACCAGCTGCCCACTTTGCATAAAGCGGCTGTTTTTCTAAAGAACTAAAAACTCTTCATTTGTAGCAGATCAAGCTCTGTTTTAATCACCTACGCACATACGTGAAGTTCCTAACCAGTATTATATGGGACACTATCTAAACAGATGTGACATTAATTACTAAAGTTAATTTTGAATAAAAGGAACTTGCTTTTACCACATCTGATTGACACCATATATATGTCTCCAGCTGTTTAAAACAGATAAACCCCATTTTACTTCCACTATGTTTAAACAGAGCTAAAGGAATGATTTGTGGTAAATTTATCCCAAATATTTGAATACAAATATTTATTGCAGGAGTTCTGTTTTGGGTTGTTTTTTTTTTTTTCTCCCCAGCTTAAGAAAGAAAGAATTTCAAATCCATTAGATGTTGATTTTCCACTGGAAATGGGTTAGGGTCAGAAAATGCCAAGTCGTTGGGTGGTCCATAACCCCGTCACAGCAAGCTGGAGATGCATCTTTTAGAAACTGTTACTTTTCCATTGTGTTGTTAAGTCTGCAATGCTTTGAAGAAGAGATACTTCAGTTTTGTAATGATTCAGTAATTTTAATTGCAGGCCAGAGATGTTAGATAAGGCAAGAAACAAAGCTCGAGTTAAAGCTTGTTACATCATGATTGGACTCTCCATCGTTGCCTGTTTTGCAGTGATTGCCTCAGCTAAGAAGGTGAGTACAGCACTAGCTAATTACCATGATGGAGTTCTGTGGAAAGCAGACAACCTAAATAAACAGCAACAGCTTACACCTGTCCTCATTGTAGCTAACTCACGATTCCACTGCCCCTAACATGTAAGTAGCTGCTGGCTGTTCTTGAGAGGGGTCCCTAGGGTGCACCATTATTCCTACTGCGCTACTCTGAAGTGGATGTTCTACTTCTGCAGGCTGCTGCACGTCATGAGTCCTTAACAAGCTGGAACTTGGCAAAGAAGGCCAAGTGGCGGAAGGAGGCTGCGCTAGCAGCGGAGGCAAAGACCAAGTAACTTCACACACAATGCTGAATGTCCTTGTGGGAGCAAAATTAATGGTTGCTGAGAGTGATAAGCGAATATCCCCAGTAACCAGACAGTTGTAGCACTGTACATCCAGGAGCCAATAAAAGTACTTACAAGATCACAAAAAGAACTGGAGGGTCTCTTAGAGACGCTCAATGTCCTTGTTGCATATAATTAATCTTAAAGTGTTTTGCATATGATTGAAATTTGCTTTTAAAGGAGAAGAGGTAGTTTCTTAAGAATGACAGGTATGTTTGGTTAAATATTTGCAAAACATATTTAAACCCCAAAAACTTTGTCTAGTGATAGTGCAGTTTTAAAATGCACAAATCAGCCACTTCGAATTCATTTGCCTCAGTGCGGTATTCAAAAAGGCAGATGCATTTTCTAGTTTAAGCAGCCACACTTATTCAACCACTAAATAAATACAACAAACATCTGTAAAATAGGTTTTATTGGTTTCTGTACGGTATTTGGAGATTTAACATTCCATAATATTGCATACTATTCATGTGTTCTGTTACAGTAATGGGCCTTTGGCCTGGATTTAAAGATGCATTATTACTATCTGAAGTTCATATAGGCAAATTTAGTTCCCACACATTACATGAACATATTGTGCCGTAACTAAATGAAATTTCTCATTCCAGATTTCAGTGAACTCCTGAGGTCACAGTTAAACTTCAGGTATCAATTGGCAGATCTATTACAAAAATCCTCAGTTGTACAATTTAGGAAATTTAAACCGAGCATTACCTGTAGAGGATAGGCAATAGTGCATCTTTTCTATTTTTAAAAAGACAGACCCAACAATAAATATTTTCCAGTTGAAAATGTGTTCTACAGCTAGCTTATTTCTGTGTCAACATTATTACTATTTTCTGATTGTTGCTAGCAACAGTGTTTAAAGCAAATACTAGGAAATTAAAAAGCTGTATGAACCAGTCCTCAGACAAAAGTGCAACAATGAAAAAATTAGGTATGATTCAGTGTGTCAAGAGTAGGGAACTAAAAAAAATAATCTCATGCTCTGCCTAGTTGCATAGATTAGCTAGTTAATATTCACATTTAAGCAGAACAAATGGTACCCTTTTAATTAAAGCCAAAACCCCAAACCCCTGTATTTTTAAAGACTTTGCAACTGATGGGGCACTTCAGAGTCCGTATCTAGAGCCAAACTTAAAAGATTTTCCTCTCACAGTTGTGGGTTTTTTTTTCTGTACCCTGGTTTCACCATCCTATTCACACCCCTGCCTGCAAATGACTACACCAGAGTTGGCCTTAAGTCATTATCTCTGTTTTTTTCATTGTTTATGTATGTGCTTTTTAACAAAGTGGGATGTAACCCCAGTGATAATACAGGAGAGGCCATCCTGTACATTTAACCTTTAAAGAGCTTTCATTAACAATTTTAGGGTAAATCATGTTGAGCTTAAATAATGATTTCTATTAGCCAAATTCATCATTTTTAGTTCCCTTTTAAACCATTACACTTAAATGTATCAGAGGCATGAAATACAGTTTATCTAAATGCGTAAAGTGCAGCCACTAACTGTTCACACATATAGAATAATATATCCACGCAACTGAAGACATTCTTTCAAAACAAATGTAATACTTTAAATGTCCCCTCTTTTCTTCATTTTCAAGTCTTTATGTAAAGATTTTTATAGCTCAGATTTGGTTTAAATTAGAGAGGCTTATAAATGCAGTTTTTACAGGGTTCTTCAAATAAAAAGCAGGCACAGCTGGTTATGTTATCAAAACAAGGTTGTTAGAAACAACAAAATACCCTGTTACCTGAATATTTTTCTTACATTAGAAGAACATTGAAATTCAGCATTTACTAGTCATCCTGGTAGATTTCCATTATTGTTACCCTGTACTTTGAACAGATGGGGGGGGGGGGGGGCACACAGGAAAGAAGGAAGCTCAGTATATGAAAACCTAAAACTATGAGAGTAAAAAGGGCATAAATACAATCATCTAGCATTATATGAAAATTTGGCAGCTGTACTCAAGATTATCACACTATTCAAAACTGTTGTATGCTGTACAAATCTAGGTTTAAAGTGTCATTTGCTAAAATATCTCATTATTCAGAGTTCATAAAGTAACAGCACTTCTATATACACTTCTAATCTTTCACTAAAAACACTGAAGAGGTTTCTTCCCTCCCAGTTATATCTTAGTCAAAACTGACCATTAATCTTAGAAAATCCACTTTAAGTCGCACATTCAATTACAATATAGTATATATTGCTGTAACATCAAAATGAAACATCTTAGAATCTTAACTTGCATGGTAAAAAAAATTATAACTATAAAATGGTACTGCAAATGATGCCGCCTTTAACCTGTATTTTTCAGTGCATTATAACATCGTTTAGTGATAAGCACAGTGCCATGGGGTAAGTAATTTAAGTTGAAACTGCAGCTTTTCATGAAGCATGAAATGCTGTTGTATGTCAAGGATTTCACTTAACCCAGGCGTTTGATATTAATACAGGTAATAAAAATAATCATACTTCAGTTAACCCAAAGTACTGATTTCTCCAAATAAGATATACTACTAATACACCAGAAATACTACTTATATGCAAGTCAAAGCAGAGCACACATTTTTCTGTTATTCAAAATTGTTAAGGTAAATACCAGAATTCTATTTCTTTTAGTGTTTAACAGCAAATACTGTATATTATAGAGCCTAAATATTTAGATGACATTAACTTCTAGTTAGTTTTGGTGTCCACATACTTAATGCTATTTACAGTACAACAAACTTTTCCTTCAACTGAAAAACAGTAATTCACTATTCATTCTTCACTGCAGTATTTCTATTGTCTTACCAAAAGAAAACCAAATTAGTCAACTTAAAGAGCAATTCAAATGATGGTAGTGTATTTGGTCAAAAAGACAACACCTACTGTCTAAACTTTCAAGAACCTACTGTACTAGAAAGGCAAACATTGCAATGTTTCTTGAACTAAGTGGTGCTACCACACTTTGACAGGAGACAGCTGTAAGCCATCTGCTTGGTGATTTGTGCAAATCAGCATCTCTTGTCACTCATAATCGCGGCATTCTTGTGGTAACTACAGCAACTGCTTCCACTGCAAAGTACTGTACTTGTGGCTGACTTTTAATGCCATTTAGCAGCTTTAATTACAGAGTCAACACCAAATGACCAGCAAGCTCTCTGCTGATTCCAATTGGAAAACTTCTGAAATAGTTCTCATTCCACATAATTCAGAAAAAGTTTTTTCATATACTCAATATTATATTAGGTAATTAGCATTATATATGTATATCTATTATGTCTTTAAATACTTTTTATAAATAAATTCCAACAGTGTGTGGTAAAGTAAGTAATGCATAAAAGTTCCACAATTTAAATAAATATTTTTCACATTCCAATTCAGCTTCTTGCAAGCTCATCTTTAATTCATGCCTTAGTTCTGAAGCAATGTTTTTGCTTCAGTACAAGAGGTAGATTTGATAGAGACTGGGCAAGTCAAGCCTACTGCTAAAAATGCAACCATCAGTAACTGTATTGCTGATATGCAGTTTGAGACTACATGAAAATTTCAGAACCACTACCTAAAATTCTACAAAGTCTTAGCTTAACAGTTCTTGTTAAATCACATTTAATTCTTTTAGACATTATTACTCACAGTTGTTTTCTGTACATTAAGAGATAATGAAAAACACAAATACAAAACAAAGAACAGTTGTATCTAACACAATATATAAAAGTGCATGAGCTCTTTCTTCATCTATTTCTGCAAAACATACTCAACTTTTCCTCTAACTTTGGCCATAAAGAAAAGACCTCTGAGGAAGAAAAAAAACCCAAAACCAAACACCCAACCCAAAACCCTACAAGTATTTACATTTTATGCTTGCCTTCAGTAGTTTACAGCTGAAACCCCTCCATCGGAGCCTCCTGCTGTTGAAACAGAAACTGCTGCTGACTTTCATCCACCTGAGGTGCAATACTGGAGTCCTCTTCTTCAACACCAAAGTAATGTTCTATGAGTTCAAAAGCCTTTTGGTAGATCTCTTGGTTTTCATGCCTCTGGAGAAATTCAATTTTATCAAGTCCTGAATTTAAAACAAAACATTTTCAAAATCTAGTTGCTTAAAATGAATGATGAATTCAAAGTTAAATTAATTCAATAGTATTGAATTCACTTCTGAACCCATGTATTTCTAGTCTTCTATTTCTGCTGTCCAAGCTAATTTTAAAACTACGCTAAAAGAATATCAGGTAAACTAAGGAGGAGGAGAAGGCAGCAGTTCCAATACCTACAAAGAAATACGCCATGCCTACCATGTCTCCTGAGGTACATTTCATAAAATGACCACAGATAAACATTCACAGGTTTTCTGCATTTAACCACTTTCCCACCAAGTTAGATTACTTATGATACTTTAATGTCCCCATATAGAATAATTAGGGTTGGAAAGGACCTTAAGATCATCTAGTTCCAACCCCCCTGCCATGGGCAGGGACACCTTACGCTAAATCATATCACCCTCGAAGTAATTCTTATATTAAGCTTACCTACAAATTTCAAAACAGTTCATAATGGTTTTGTTTTTTACAGCCTGAAATAATGAAGTTCAGATACATGGATTATAAAAAGTAATTTCTTACCATATGCTTCCTCTATAAGGGCACAATAAGGATTAACACCCATTCCATTTTGCTTAGACTCTTGTTCTCCAAGGCGCAGAATATTTTCAAGTCCATTTAAAGCCACCTGTACTATTTTTGAATCCATCACAGTCAGGAGGTCACACAGAGGCTTGGTACAACCTAGTGCTACCAAATACCTTTATAACAGCAGAAAAACAGAGGTGTGGGAGAAAAAAGGAGGACTGATAATCCAGCACACATATACTGACATGCCATTCTATCATTACTGGTCCTTAATTTTGCTTTAAAAAAGTGACTGAAGCAAAAAAAATTCTAGAACATGTAACACCACACAAAAAATAAGCTTAGTCTGAATTTTAATGAATATTCTAATTTATCCTAATGAGAAAATGTAATGTGCATATTCCTAACTGGATGTGGAATTTGGAGTCTTTTCAACTCCTTTTCACTTATGATATTCA